TCATTTTACCGACCCCAGAAGGATGGAAGGCTGAGTCAACCCTCAGCCTGGTGACATTCAAACTGCCAAACGGGGAAAGAGGGATCCATGACACCCCAAAGTCCACTAATTTGCAAAGTTTATGCTTTTTTCTTTCCCTTCCCAGATATTGACCAAAGAGACATCCTTCTTGGAACCAGCTTTGTTCAACTCTCCCTTTTTTTGACCAATTACTCTGACAGGTTGGAAGCATTTGTAAGGACAAATGAGAAGCTGTGGGGACTCTGGGAAGGAATGGAAGCAGAGGAGATATAAATAATCAAGAGATAAAAAGGCAAGTCTGTTAGCGCTTATCTTAGAAATAGCAACTTAGCTCAAGTGACAAGAAAACCGTGAAGAAGCCTTGCAGATTCTAAGGAAACTCCACCTTAATGGAATTAATTATATATAAAAAAAACCCTTTTACGACTCTTATTCAGTCACTAATTCAGGGGTGACTGGAAGGAGCTGAGTGTTTACTGGCCGGATGCTCTTCCTCACACCACGTGGAGTTCACAGCAGATTTTTTTCTCTCTTTGTGCCCAGGGAGAGAGGAACATCTGCTGCTACCTAGGATTGAACTGCCAACCTTCCGAACGGGAGGCGATTAGCTTCACCGCTAGGCCACCACGATGCTCTATGGACTTAACTACAAAGAAGGGTTGGAACTTTTTCTTAATAGGTTTTCAGGAAAAGTCATAAAATGGGGCAAAACTCACTTAGCAAATGTTTCACTTAGCAACGGAAATGTAAATAATGCCTTTTATTGTAACAAGCTAAAACAAAAAATTTTGAAATCCTGTTTGCGTATCTCTCTGTCCCACCTTATACTAAGCAAAAGCAAAACAGGGCTGTTCTCACCCTTTTTTTTTTCATTTGGGATTTTGTCGTCTTTTCTCCAAATCCGAAGGTCAGATCTGTATTCTTTCAGACATTAAGAAAAATGGTGGAAGGAAGACGAGAAATCCCTGCTAAACCATCCCACTGAGTTACCACGATACTGTTTTTAATTGTGTGCAAAACGTTAGAAACCCAACCGTTCCAAATTCAAAACATCCCGTTCTTCATTGCAAAGTTCCTGCTTTGCACCCAAAATGGGAATTCAACTCCAGCTTGGGTGGTTTCATAAACAAAACCAGAGGTGGTGAATTCAGCAGGTTCTGAGCAGTTCTGGAGAACCAGGAGCAGAAATCTTGATTAGTTTGGAGAACCGGCAAATCCCACCTCTGACTGGCTATTCTATATTCTATATCCCCATCTATTCTCTGCCTCCCGAGTCCCAGCTGATTGGCTGGGTCTTCTTTGGTTGCCCTGCACAGGAGAACGGAGCTGGAAATCAGGTTAGTGGGGTGGGGAGGGAATGTGGGTTTTGCAGTAAACTTCCCCCAGAAGTGGGGAGGGAATGGGGATTTTGCAGTATCCTTCCTCTGGCATGCCCACCAAGCCACGCCCACCAAGCCACATCACGCCCACCAAGCCACACCCACCAAGCCACACCCACAGATGATTGGCTGGGTCTTCTTTTGTTGCCCTGCACAGGAGAACGGAGCTGGAAATCAGGTTAGTGGGGTGGGGAGGGAATGGAGATTTTGCAGTATCCTTCCCCTGCCACGCCCACCAAGCCACGCCCACAGAACCGGTAGTAAAAAAAAATGAATCCCACCACTGCCCAAAACCTTTGTTTGCTTTAATGGTTCTGCTTGTTTCGAGGCTAGGGGAAAAATTTATTGATTCTGCATCAATTTGCCTTTGAAAGCAGAGGTATAGGAAGCAGCAAAGTAATGAGAAATCACAAGGTCTCCTTGGGCACCCCAATAACAATGCATTCAACCAGCCAGAAAAAAACAAGCCATCCAATTATCTGAAGAGCCATTGACTTCCACCTCAAGGATCCATATTTGAGAGACCTTTTTTTTTTAGCCCTGGGAACCAATTCAGCCCAAACACAAACACATGCCTGTACTTGACAAAATAACACAAACTGCAACTGGCCAGTCATTTTTATTATTATAATCAAGGGATATTTATTTTAGAAAACCTGCCATAAAACAAAAGATGATTGCCATTATCCTGATGGGTTAGTTAGTCTGATCCAAAAAGAAGTGGAAATGCAATCAGGGGAATCCAAATATTTGTCAGCTGCCCCTTATTAAGTTACGTTTATGTTCCAGGAGCTCCGCGCAGAAATAGATTAGGCTGAGATCTCAGCGCTAAAGCCCCTAGAGAGCAGGTATTACGCACCACACACTGAGTCATGAGGTTTTGATAAACAAACCACAATACCTGGAACCATGCAACACCTTAAACCACAGCTCAGCAAATGAAATGGGTTCAGCAGTCAGCCAAAGTCCATCAACAAAAGCCTTAGGCTGAGCCAGGGGTTTGAACCAGCATCTCCCCAGTCTTAGTTCAGCGCAACATTAAAGGCAACATTAAAACATTAAGTGCAAGGGTGTCAAATTCAAGGCCTGGGGGTCAGATCTGGTCCACGGGGTGTTGAGATCTGGCCCATGGGGCTGCCCTGGAAACAGCAAAGGACCCACCTGTGATGCCTCTGTCAGCGAAAATGCGGCCCTCCCGAGCTCTGTTTTCATTGGCAGAGGGTTGCAGGAGGCCGTCCCAGCAGAAAACGGAGCTCTGGAGCCCATTTTCTCTGGCAGAGCATGTGGGCCACAGGCACCCCTGACATGAGTGATGTCAAGCTGGCCACGCCCACCCTGGCCACGCCCACCCTGGTCCCCCAAGTTCAGATACAACCCTGATGTGGCCCTCAATGAAATCGAGTTTGGCATCCCTAGCTAGTGTCTCCCAGTTCATAGCTCTAAAACTTCCTTAAATCCTTGTCTGGAGCAAGATGAGATTTCTGATGAGAGAGACAGCAGGGGTAACAATGAAGGATCATAAGATCTGAGAAGTTCCTACCTGGATATAATTACCTGGGATATAATTCCTACAACCCTAATTGCTATTCAAGTACACTTGGCTAAATTCATATCTTTTTTTTTTATTGCACATGTATGGACACACAAACACACATACTTACTTCTGCAAGCTACTGTGAAAAGTTTGGGAACTGCATTGCTTAGATTGGACAAAACAGTCAGTTGGGAAAGAGAGACTCTAATGAGAACTAATGCTTTTAATGTTTTGTTCGTTGCACTTTTATGCCACTGTAAGCTACCCAGAATCATTTTGGATAGGGAAGCAGATGGCACATAATTTAATAAATAAACTTGAGAGTTAACAGTCTGCCATTAGTTTTTGTCCAGCACAATGCACAGTTCCTTCGTATGCCTGCTTATTTGGAAACATATCAAGCTGCATTCAAGGGCTACTCCAAGTCAAATAGGCTCAGCAGCCTTTAACAAGCTGGCATTCTTAAAAGACATGAGGACGCATGCAATTCTGGCAACCCGTAGCCAGCTTTGCAAATCCTGGCTTGCCATACCGGAACTGGCAGCCTGATCTCACAAATTCGCTAGGATTGGTAAACAGATACTGTAACAGGGAGCTGCGGTGCTAAATTGGAAGTTGCAGAAAGACGTTGCCTCAGAGGAGACACCAACCATGGGTGGGGAGTTACAAAGGAAGGATTCAGTCATCAGCCCTGCCAGGACAGAGAGCTAGTAGGGGCTCCCCAAATCTCCTCCTATTTAAAACTGACAGGGCGAATTCAGACCAGTGATGGGCGCTTAGCCTATAGTCCATTTTACAAAGGCACTGTGGGAATAATATCTACCCAGGGAAGAAAGAGGGAAAATGATATATCCCTAATGCATCAATATTTTAATGCGAGATTCCTGACTGTGCCCGCTATCCCTATTTCACCCGGCATCTACTCAATTTGTCCTCTTCCACCCTTTCTTATTTAAAGGATGCCCACCAGGGCTTAATCATTGCATAAAGTCAGCAGATTCTAGCAAGGCTTTGACTGCTGACTTATGTGTGGTACAACTAAAGGAATTTGATCTGATGACGCCTGTAATGGGGGGGGGGGGCTGTGGGAGAGATCCCACCCTTTCAGTGACAGCCCTTTTTCCACCCTTGTTTCAGCTGTAAGGGAAGCAGCCGCTCGTCTTCTTCCCAGCTCCTTTCCAAGCCCTAAGCGTAAAAAACAACAAGCCCTGGTCGAAGGAAGAGTCCTGTTTTAACCCCCGAGAAAGTTGAAATCTGTGGGAGGAGGGCAGGGGGGCACACAGCCCCAGAGACCAAGCCCTGAACTCTGGGTTGGCGCGCTGCCGCCCCAAGAGTGCTCCAGCACAGCCTCAGCCTTGGAGAGCTTGCCTTGCCAGAGGCGAACAGCAGCTGGCAACCCCGCAAACCATCTTTTCTAAAGTTTCTCTGTTGCTAACCAAGGCATGTCTCCCCCCCTCCCCCCCTCTCCCCCACACACCTGAGGACACCTCATTTCCTCCAGAGAATGTTTCAGCACCAGGGACTCTGCCAGGCGGAGCGGTCGGCTCCCTCCTTCCCCCAGATGTCGATGACCTTCAAGCCCAGCATCTCTTCCGGGAGTTACCAGCGAGGGTGGCACAACATCTGGAGGGCCGCCGCCGCCGCCGCTGCCTTACCGTCTCCCACCCGTCTCCCGGGATCGAGGATTTGGCTCCATCGGCGGCAACCCAAGAAACGCGCTCTTGGAACCGAACGGGAGGTCCGGTGTACTTTCAGGGCTGGATGATGGGAGTTGTAGTGGAAGGAGCTCTGGAAAGCAGAGTCCGCTGGCTGGGGAGGGCGGTCTAAGCGGACTAAGGGAAGGACGGGCAGGGGAGCCCGCGGGGTCCCTGGAGGGCACCGGCTTGGGGAAGGCAGCCTCCTGCCAACTCCGACGGAAGTCTCCTCCCGGAGGGTGGCTCAGCCGGGGAGGCTACCCGCTGCCGCCCAGCCTTGAGACACCGCTCCAGGGTCTGCGCCCCAAGCCGGGCGGCCGAGGAAGGGGCCAGCCCAGCGGTTCCCGCCGACGCGCTCCGGCTCACACTCACCCCATCTCCCGGCACTTGTCTCCGGCCGCGAAGCTGGGCGGCGAGAGCGCGCTGGCCGGCGGGGTCTCCTCGCCCCCTCGCTCGCCAGCCGCCAGCGCGGGCCGCGTCCCGATCTCGCACATCCAGCTGTCCGAAGAGCGCGCCTCCTTGCCGCTGGGTCCCCGGGCTCGCCAAGGAGGCGCCCGCCCGCCCGCCGGCCTGGCTAGACTCTGCTCCGCGCGCTTGCCCTCCTCGAAGCGCCTCGGCGGTCACCGCCTGCCGGGGGCCCCGGGGAGCCCGCGCCGTCGGGAAGGGCCGGTCCGGCCAGGGAAAGAAGCAGGCAGGCAGCGGCTCCAGCGGCGAGTCCCACCTGCTTCGCCCGCAGCCGCCTCCCACTCGCGGGGCGGGGAGAAGCCGGCAGCACGCGGCGGGCAGGCGGAGTCAGAGGCGGGCAGTCCACGCCGGGTACCGCCGCCCAACCGGGCGCTCTGGCTGCGCTCGATCCAGAACCCCCCCACTCCCCCACCCACCCTGCCGCCGTGCAGCTGCTTGGCAAGTTCCCAGCGGTGGGGCGAAGACGGCGCTGCTGCGTTGGGATCCGGGGGGGTTTCCTTCCTCGGGGCGTCGCGCGAGGACAGATTTTCCTTCGGGTGGCAGGAAACGCTGTTGGGGGCTAATCATGTTAGAACAAATCCAGTTTGTAAGATGAAGGTTTAACAAGGAGAGGTGCGTTTTATCTTTTTCTGCCCTCCTCTCCGCCCGCGCAGTTTTTAAAAATGCATCTTGAAAGCAACATCTTTTTTTAAAAAAACCCAAATCGTAGCAGGATAGTGGAGTGGAGCACCGAGCCCTCTACCTTTTCCCAAGATTTCTCCCCAAGATTTCTCTCAACTGAGCGCGCAGGGCTGCAGGAGACCCGACCCCTGGCCAGTGGGATTCTCCTCCTCCTCCTCCTCCTCCTCCTCCTCCTCCTCCTCTTCTTCTTCTTCTTACGTTGTTGTTGTCGTTGTTGTTGTCGTTGTCCTCCACCTCCTCCTCCTCCTCCTCCTCATCAGAGTTGGAAGGGACCTTGTAGGTCGTCTAGTCCAACCCACCCACCCAAGCAGGAGACCCTACACCATTTCAATCTCTTCTTGAAAGCCTCCAGGGATGAAGCTCCCACAACTTCTGAATGCAACTTCTGTTCCATGGGTTGATTGTTCTCACTGTCAGAAAGTTTCTCCTTATTTCCAGGTTGAATCTCTCCTTGTTCAGTTTCCATCCATTATTCCTTGTCTGGCCTTCAGGTGCTTTAGAAAATAGCCTGACCCCTTCCTCCTCTCTGCGGCAGCCCCTCAAATATTGGAACGCTGCTCTCCTGTCTCCCCTGGTCCTTCTCTTCCCTAGACTAGCCAGGCCCAGTTCCTGCAACCGTTCATTGTATGTTTTAGCCACCTGTCCCCTAATCGTTCTGGCTGCTCTTCTCTGTACTTTTTCTAGCGTCTCAGCATCTTTTCTTATAGTGTGGTGACCAAAATTGCATTCAGCTTGGTTCCCACAGCGCGGCCAACTTCGACTTTCCCCTTGCTTAGCTATGAAAGCTCTTGGGTTCTTGATTCTGGATCAGGATTTCTTTATTATATCGCTTTCTACTTCATGACCGTAATGATACTTGGTTATTGCCTGGCTTTCTGTAAACCCCAATATAGGCAGGCCTCAACTTACAACAGTTTGTTTACTGACCCTTCAATGTTAGATTGGCACTGAAAAAAGTGACTAATGACCATTTTTTCACACTTATGACTGTTGCAGCATCCCCATGGTCACGTGATCCAAAATTCAGAAGCATGGCAATTGGTTCATATTTGTGATGGAAGGGGGTCACGTGATCCCCTTCTATGGCCTTCTGACAAGCAAAGTGGACAGGGAAGCTAGATTCACTTAACAATGGTGTGACTCCTTTAACAACAGCAGTGATCCGCTTAACAAACAGGGCCAGAAAAGATAGTAAAACGGGACAAAAGTCGCTTAACCAATGTCTCACTTAGTAACAGAAATTTTGGGCACAATTGTGGTCGTAAGTCAAGGGCTAACTATAGAAGAGGATATTTGTAGCTCGGGGTTGAATCGTGGGGTCCTTGGCGCTCTCTGAGCTTGGCTGTTGGCTTGCAGAAGTTTCATGACCCAATTAGCTAACATCATCTTAAATCAATCCCACCTGCATTGTGGTTTAGAGCTTGGAGCGACCCCCCAAAGGGATCTTAATGGCCTCAAACCGGTAGTGGGATTCAAATTTTTTTACTACCGGTTCTGTGGGCATGGCTTGGTGGGCGTGGTGTGGATTGGAGGGCGTGGCATGGCTTGGTGGGTGTGGCTTGGTGGGCATGGCAGGGGAAGGATACTGCAAAATCCCCATTCCTTCCCCACCCCACTAACCTGCTTTCCAGCTCTGTTCTCCTGTGCAGGGCAATGAAAGGAGACCCAGCCGATCAGCTGGGACTCAATGAGAGGCAGAGAAGAGGGTGGGCGGGGCCAGTCAGAGATGGTTCTCCAAACTACTCAAAATTTCAACTACCAGTTCTCCAGAACTGGTCAGAACCTGCTGAAGACCACCTTAAACCCCTTTTAATCATTCTTGTAGGAGCTTAAAAGAACAGAAGGCGCACTTGCCAAGATTCTTCATCTTTCTTCCCGAGGGCTAACAGATTCAGATGGTGGAAATGGGGGGAGCTGGTTTGGTCCTTTGAAAAATCTTAGAAGAACCGGGGATCCAGTTAGGAATATATGGTTGGGAGATCTGATGCTCTAAGTCAGAGGTCTTCAAACATGACAGGTTTAAGACTTGTGACTTCAACTCCCAGAATTCCTCCTCCCAGTCATGTTAGCTCAGGAATTCTGGGAGTTGACAAGTCTTAAAAGTTGCCAAGGTTGGAGGCCCCTGCTCTAAGTCATTAAACCAGCAGACTGTGTGGACAATGAAAGTAGCAGAACATGGTGGTTCTTGTTTAGATCCGGAAGATAAGCAGGATTGGGCTTGATTAGAATTGGGATGGGAGATTGTCAGGTTGCTGTAGGCTAGAGTGGAAAGCCAACAAAAACAAATAAAACTGAGAATTTCTAAAGCATTTCCACGTTGTTGCCAAGAAAACTGCACTGACTTGTTGGTGAGGTCAGCAGGAATCCAGCTTGACTTGAAGGAGACTGAGGTGCTCGACAAAATTATCAAGGTATTAAAAATATTTTTCCCCCTTGGTGTAATTCTAAACATTACAACAATCCGTGTGCATTCCTGGCACTCCAAAACTTCTCACACTTCAGCAGTTCGGTGCGGTGGCAGCACTGGATGCACAAAACCAACTTTCAAAGAGAAACCCATTTTTCAGCAAATCACGTCTTTATAAGTAAGATTGCTTTAAATTCAATTTTCGGTAGGAACCCGTTGCAATAAAAAAGAATCTCTCGTGGCAACACACAAGGAACACACAAACAAAATCAATACAAAATCATGTTGCAGTAAAACAATAAACCAAGCTGTAGTTAAAGGCAGCAGCTGTGCAAGGAAAATTTAGAAATGCCACAGCCATATAAAGCTATTTAAAATTTGACATCTCGGAAGAAAAAAGTGTGAGACAAAATTATTTCTGCCTATGAGGAAACTGTAATCTGCCAGGCCAAAGTGCATTTGCTAAATCTGTTTTCTCCACCTCAGCAATTTTAATATATGTGGACCTCAACTCCCAGAATTCTCCAGCCAGCATATTTAAACCATACTGTAATTTAACTGTATTGCAAACACAACCTGTGTAAAATAATAGGAGTGCTTTGCTTTAAAAGCCCATGACCTTTATATCTGAGCTTAATTTATGCAGGGCCTCAAGCAGCAGTTTCAGAGTATAGAAAGAGTTGTTACTAGGATTACATTTTTGAAGATAACAGATAAACAGATAATCAGAGTTGGAAGGGATCTTATAGGTCATCTAGTCCAACCCCCTGGCCAAGCGGGAGACCCTGCACCATTTCTGACAAATGGCAGTCCAGTCTCTTCTTGAAAGCTTCAAGTGATGGCGCTCCCACAACTTCCGAGGGCAACTTCTGTTCCATGGGTTGATTGTTCTCACTGTCAGAAAGTTTCTCCTTATTTCCAGATTGAATCTCTCCTTGTTCAGTTTCCATCCATTGTTCCTTGTCTGGCCTTCAGGTGCTTTGGAAAATAGCTTGACTCCCTCTTCTTTTGGGGCAGCCCCTCAAATATTGGAAGACTGCTGTCCTGTCTCCCCTGGCCCTTCTCTTTCCTAGACTAGCCATGCCCAGTTCCTGCAACTGTATGTTTTAGCGTCCAGTCCCCTAATCATTCTGGTTGCTCTTCTCTGTAGTTTTTCTAGAGCCTCAGCATCTTTTTTTATAGTGTGGTGAACAAAACAGAATGCAGTACCCTAGGTGTGGAAGAATCCAGGCTATCTGGCAGAACAGATTCTAGTTCAGAAAAACTTTAAATGTTCAATCCTCAAAGAATTCCAAGATTTTTCTCATTTTGAGGGTGGTGTTTTTTTTTTTTCTTTTGAAGACATTTCACTTCTCATCTGAGAAGCCTCTTCAGCTCTGAGGGCAAACTTGTAACAAGTCAATTCCTCAAATAGCTAAGAGGGAGCCAGTTTAAGTGATGGTGTCAGAAGGCTTCTCAGGCACAGCCGAAGGGGACTTTTTCATGATGACCATCCGAATAATTGTCTTCTGCCTTCCAGCAAAATCCTTTCTACGACTTCTAAATGCATAAAATCACACTTGTGGCCAGCAGGCACGTGGCACCTTAAACAGAAGGATTACAGATATTCTGCTCGCAGTGCAACTTAAAAGTGAAATTCTATCCCAGGCATGATATCACAGTCCACCTCAGGGGACGTTCAGCCGTGTTTCATATCACCGGTGCCACCGATGTAATTACATCCCCTCCTCTGGTTATAAAACCTTCAGACGTTTCAAGCCTTACTGTGAAGCGCAGTTTGGAACTGACATATCTAGTTAAAACCATGAAAAGCATCTAAGACAAGCAGTTACATTGTTCTACATTTGGGGCAAATGAGACCTTGACGTACGACCACAATCAAGCCTAACATTTCTGTTGTTAAGCAAGACATTTGTCAAGTGAGCTTTGCCCTATTTTAAGACCTTTCTTGCCGCAGTTGTTAAGTGAATCACTGCAGCTGGTAAGTTAGTGAACCGGTCGTTGAGTGAATCTGGCTCCCCCGTTGACTTTGCTGGTCAAAAGGTCGTAAAAGGGGATCACATGACCTTGGGAAACCAGCAACGGTCATAAATTTGAACCAGTTGCCAAGCCTCTGAATTTTGATCACATGGTCATAGGGATGTTGCGAAGGTCGTAATTGTGAGAAATGGTCATAAG